CACTTCATTTCTTATCCAGTCTTTTCCAGAATGCAGACATGTTTGGGGGATAAAGCATGGTGTATTTGAGAAGAGTTGTGCGACAAGCCTAATTTTGCTTACCTGTTTTTTTTTTTTTTTTTGCTAGCGTTCAGCAATAGTTGCCAGGTGTAATTCGATAGAAAGAAAAATAGCTACTACATGAAACTGTTACGTCGTTCGAGTAAGCGGGTCATGATTTCTGGAAAGAGACATTGTTGAGTTTTTCAAATCAGCACTTTGCACACCACAAGCCGAGAGCTATCTCGTCCCATTATACTGAAGAGATGCAGACATCTCTACAGCTGATATCTCCAACAGCCAATAACTCACACCAAAACAATCTAGATGGATAAATGGCACTACATGTAAGAGGAAAAATATGCATTTTTGATTTTGGGGTGAACTGTCCGACTAAGCAACAAGTGCCACACAACAACTGTGGGTGAAACCTTGATCTCAATGTATGTTGTGCACAGCAGGAAAATGTGAACTGTTCTTTTTAACAAAAGAACAAGCTGCTTTTCATGAGGAACGTACTTTTGCCGTATCTTTTTCCAACGTTCCATGTGGTCGCATAAGAGAGAACCGGATACAGGAGCTGAATCTGTTAACTGTGGAACGAGAACATGTTCAGATATAGTTAGTTATAGTTCATTGGTTGACTTAAATAACTAATGACTTTAATATCATAATGTAATGTGTGCCACTTAATATTGCTATGCAAGTAAAACACAAATTCTCGTGCACACATTATACAGAACCTTGGTAACAGTGGGTTTTTCCGTCGGTGGGATCCTGAGATTGACGGGTTCACCAGATGGGCTGATTGGACAGGAGGTTGGAGGAGCGAGTCTGTACACATTCTGACCTTTACCATTGATCATGTCTGTAACCTGGCAAAAGAAAGACATTTGGTAAAAAGAATCATTACTGGCCTCATGATGTCCAAAGACTGTGGCAACTTAAGAAATTCTTAATATTTTCTAGTTAAGTACTATAAGTACTCTCAAAAATACTTTCTTTAAATGTTCATTAAACTGTTTCAAAGATAATTTCATGCAAAATTAGTGTAAAATACTAATGATAAAGTTTTGGTATTTAAACTTTAAATTGAAAAATCTAAATACAAAAAACGTACCACTGGTCTTGTTTAGTCATGCTAGTATCAGATTTATTTGCAGGGATTCTGAGATTATTTACTGCTGAGACAATTACAACTGCCCTTCTCCAAAGATGAGGATAGGATTTTGATTGTGGTGCTCAAAGCATTGAAAAAATACAGCTAAAATACTCAAAAGCAACTAGTCTTTTCTCAAACAACAAACATGCATGCTTTTGCACAGGCTAAAGAGAGTTATACGTGAATGTACTGCATTGACTGTATCCACTTTAAATCCAAGCGGACTACAGTCACCACCCACTGCAATAGGGGTTCATTACTGTGACGACCGTCACTTTCAGACTGATTAATGTTCCACAATGTTCCCGTCTTCATTAGCAGTTTTATATTGCTTAGCCACAAGGGAGTGCCCTAATGCTGCGTAGACAGAGGCAGAGTGATGCTTGTGGCTTGTACGAACCCAATGTAACTGTGCCACAGCCCATCAACAACAGGTTATGTCATACAAACATTTGAATCAATTCCCAGTCAAATGTCCTGAGTTCTGTAACAACCAACCTGCTCGTACTTATGGTGTTTTTAAGAGTATATTATATTGACTGTACTGCACGATGACGGTTCAGTGTTCATGAGGTGTGATAAAATCAGAGAAATAGTGTGACAGAAGCTCCATAAATAGTATTACAGCAAAGTTTGATGCAATACTGTTTGCTTTATTATTTCTATAGCAGTTACTTTTAATACTAGCAAAGGAAGACGCATTTTAAATCACAGTGTACAGTGGATACGTGTTTCACACTGTTCCACACAGCGAGACAGTGAAGTGTGACTTTAAAGCCGTACAGAATTTATTTTTGAATTTTTTGTAATGTTGCCTATTTTAAATCAAATTGACGTTATCCAACATAACTAGGATCTCACCTCTTCCTCTACCAGGCTGTGCGAGGGGCTTGGGGAAGCAGCTGGCTCTCTAACAGAAGGATTGTTTCTCATCCAGGCCCGACAGATAGGATACAGTGGGGTGCTGGTGTTGAACTGAGCCAGATCCACACTGCGGTCAAACAACTTAATAATGTAAGAATCTAGAAAATTGAGAAAAACAGAAAATGGCAAGATAAATGGTAAGAAATTCTACAATGAAGTAAGGCAAAGTGATCACACAGTAACTGAGGGACAAAAAGGACAAATCCTACAGTGTCATTTGTTTTACTGTATTGTGTTTAGTGTTTGCGTTAAGTTTACTTTGTTTATGATGATTGCTCTCTTGCATTCCTTCATCCATCTCTTTTCGCTTCTTCCTCCGGTGCTGCGAAAATCGAGCTGATGGCCTGGAAAAAAAAATTAAAACAAGAATGAGGACTTTATAATAGGCAGAGAAATTTTACAAAATTACTGCTTTTCAAATCTATTACGGTGTGAAATGACAAGAAACATTATTTTTATAAAACCATTGACAGTTTAGAGCCACAGTTTTTCTTTCAGCCACAACTGTAGACAAACAAATGTTCTGTATGTGTTTTTGAGTAACTGTGAGCGCTTGTCAAAAAATAGACACTTGCCTTTTTCCAGCAGATGATGGAGACAAATCCCTAGAAATAGCAAGTGGAACAACAAGTTTTTACACTTCATATTTAATGTTCAAATAATAAATAATAACACAACAACAACAAATACATTTCAAATCCTAATCACTGATACGTACTTGTTTAAAGAGTCCGCTGATATTTTTCCAGGATCGCCCTCATTTTGCTCCCTGTTCAAAATACAATATTAGTTCGACTGGAAGGTTATCACAAACATAAGATGAGTGTTATAATCCCACTGACCTTTCATTTTCAGTCCTCTCTACCAGTCCCTTTAACACAGCATCCAATCTGCTGCGTGCACCAGTCCCCTCTAAATCTGCACAACAGTAAGTAGTAAACAGTGCTTTACAGAAACAACACCAACTAGAGTTCATAATATATGTAACGTTAAGTGACATTCTCATATTGCATTACTGAATTTGAGTAGTGACTATAATGCCAAAAAGTTGGGTTAGAAGATGTGTTCGTGAGAGTCTTAAGGGAGCAACCTCTCACCTGGCCTTTCAGTCTTGATCTTGACGTGATGCATTATCTCCACTTTTCTTTATATTATTAATAATTGGGGAAAACACCGACTGATACAACCACACGTTCACTGTCGGTAACCGAAATGCACCTTAGAGCAATGGTCCCTCTGAGTTGATAAGGACTTGAAACTGATGTTACAAAACAATACTAACATTAACGTAGGTCTCCTGCAGGACGTTAGATAAGTTAACGTTAGCTAATGGGCTAACAGCTGCGGTTTAAGACCGTTTAAAGTCTGCTAACGCTAGCTCCCTTCAGCGTTAGCAGTAACCGTTGGAAAACGTTAACGCTTGGTTCACGAGTGCAACTTTACCCACGTTTGCCAATTATAACGAATAGCTAACTGACAGTTACCCCTACCGGTTGTCACACATTCTCTATAAATACAATCTGCTGGACACAGGCCGTTTTATTATTGTTATATCGGACTGTAGCATGTACTAACAGTTAGCTCTAATGACCGTTGCTAACGTAGCTTGTTTTTAACCGACGGACAGACGTTCCTCTTCCGCGCGCTGCCGGTTTCCTAGTAACTGATTGGAGCGTGTGCAACGAGGACATTGTACGTGATTGGGTAACTGGTACGTCCATCATATTATACTCGGTGCCTATTGGCTGTATGTCTGGAAGTAAATAACCATCGACATAAACTGACGCTTTCTTCTGGTTTCACCGATAACGTTACATTTGTGAGAAAGAGCAAAGTCATTATATTTCCAGTTTAAATGTTTGACTTGTCGGATGAACAGATCTTCAAAACCCTCCCTGTAGAAACTTAATTTGCTATCTTATGGACAAGTTGTGTCGTACTAGCGTTTGATTCCATGGTAACTTTCTTTTGTGGACATGCCAAGTCAACTCGTAGGGCTGTTGGATAATGTGGTCTTCTAGTAAGTTAGTTTTATTGCAGTAAGACCCAAGTGACCCAGTCAGTCAGCCATATAGAAGCACCTGTAGTTTGTAGTCAAAGAGCTGAGTTTGGACCAGGCATAAATCAGACCCACACTGGAGCAACTTCTACTGTGCATCCTGTCCTATTATCAATCACCTGTGACGTCCTAAAGCTGTAATGAAATCCAGGTAAGCTCTAAAGGTCACATTTTTATATTACCCCAAGCAATAGTTACATTTGGTCATAACACAAGTGTTGTTTTTACAATGGACCTGTGTTCACAAGGCAGAATCCCTTGAAGGCAGCATCCAGGGTGGGGAAGGCACACTACCACCCACCCCGCAACCAGCCCCTGGCAAAGAAAGACAAAAAAACAGTAAGTAAATTTTACACTGAAAGATACATCTGATTCCGACATGTCGATCACTTTTTTGTTCTTTTGCAGACTTTGAGTCCTGTACGCTCAAACCAGCGAGCAAGTCCTCAGTTACACAGCCCCGAGAGCCGACAGCAGTTTGAGAAGTATGACGCCACGGATGGGCAACTTGTTTTTGAAGAGTCCTGGCCCTCCACTGACTGTGAATCTTCTTCTGCCAGCACTACGACCTCATCTTACATGGAAATGCCCAAACAGTCTGAGAGAACAGGAAAATCCACAGTTTCATCAGAGCTAGGAGTTCAGCAGGATTCAGTGCTGTCAAAGTATGCTTTTGTTTCAACCATACCCTCAAACACAGCAGTGCCTGTACTCCAAGTTATCCCCTTAAAAAAACTTCCTTTTCAAGTTCTAATATGTAAGAAATGATTCAACATGACAATGTCATCGAAACTGTGATGTGAAGAAGATAGAAACCAGCACTGACCTTTGTTCTCCCAGGTACATTGACCGCTTTCGCCATGGTCGACCGCAGAGTCGAGAGGAGCGCCAGCAAACGGATTCTGCTGTTGGGGAGAAGCAGCTGCCTTTTTGGTGGCTGTCAACATCATCTTTACCCCCCAGTTCAACACCAACTAAAGGAACAGACAATGGTGCAGTCTCACTTATTTGCAAGCTTACAGTTTTTAATGTAATGGTTATTAACTGTTGCCAGCTCTTACATTTCCACATACAAAGCAACCCTTCAGGTGAAATCCTTCTGTGGAATCTCTTTTCTCTGAACAGATGCTGTCCAGCCTCTGAAAGATGACCACGGATCTGCCATTTTCAGTCCAGCTGGACAGCGTCGACGTGACAGATGCCTCTCCCCATGCAGAGGATCTCTTAGTGTGAGTGTTTTTGAGTTTACTGGGACTGAGCCTGTTTTATCTTTCTCTACTAAATACACATAATACGTGTGTTGTTGGCAGCACAAACTTACCTCCAAATCTATATATTTTTTTCTGAAAAAGCAGAAGATTCTAGATACTACTCCATCCTGTTTTTATTCTTTGTGTAAGCTGTTATAACAGAGTATTCGCTCTGCACCCTGCCCTGGTTTATGCTAGGTTTGTCTGACTGCCCAGGAAGCAGTCTGTAGGAGAGACACCCTATTCCGACTAAGTGCACATATAAATATTTACATTTCAACAGCACACCACATGTCCATTTGGAAACCTCTCTGTTTACTAAATGCCTGGGAAGCCATCGTTTTTACAGCCATGTTTGATACATTTATGGCTTGTTCACCCTGCTCCTGTCAAATGTATCAGCCACACAAAATTATAATAGAACCTCAGTGTATTTGTTATGTAAGGTTTTTTTTTTTAACACAAATGCAAATTGAATGATCTAGTTTTATTAATTACTACAGTATTCTGTGTTCTTTATATTCAAATATCAAGAGTAAAATTGTGGCTTATTGAGTGTTCTGCCTATTCCTTTTGTATTTCAGATTCTGTCGGATACCACCCAAGGTGAATTCGAAGACACAGAGATACTACACCTTCAAGAAAGGGCCAACAGACTTCTGCTGAGAGAGTATGATTACCAGCATGTGACATGCATGATGAATTAATTAATTCCTTCAATTGTAAGTAACTTTTTTCTTTCTAATAGTGACTGTACTCTGAGTGATGGGTCTATCCATGTCAGCTCAGAGGGCCTGGGATGCTCAGATTTCTCTTCTCCATTCAGCGTAGATGAGCCACTGCAAAGACCTTTGATTCCCAGTATGATAAAATCGACTACTGGTAATGCAATACATTTTTTAGATGGAATTTAGTTTTTTAGTTTTTTTCCATTTAAACTTGCTCAATGCCAATAACTTCTTATGCAACTTGTGGTAGATTCCTATTTTTTCATGCTTGACTGTGCAATGTTTTTCTTTCTAATGTTTACAGCAAAGGCCAGCTCAGACTTAGTTCAAGCTGCGTCCTCCCAAAAGTCTTATACCATTCCTTCTCTGGTTCCACCCACACGCCCGGAAGAGGACATCTTGTTCCAGTGGCGTCTAAGGAGAAAGATGGAGCAGGCCAGGGAGTGGCCCCAGTCCTTGCACCAATCCGGACTTCATGGTCCCACATTTAGCTGGCAAGCCCCCAACTTCAGCCATCCCTCAGCCAGTGGACAGGCTTACAAGGTCAGAGACATAGTGTATGTAGCACCCCATATTTCTGGTTTAAAATGTACTCCATGTGTACAGAATCATTTAAATGTCCTCTTTCTTGCACCATCTACAGCAACCGCATTGTTCTCAACCTCCTGAAATCTCACAAAACGCTACACTTCCACACATCGCCGCTCCCCAGCCAGAAACCAAAGAAGCCCACGCATCATGTCCCCCAGCTTCAGGTCCACCTCTCTTCCCTACCTTTACTATCTCTGGCTCTGCAGTCTCTCAACCCCAGGCTATTGCCCATGTTCCCGCCCACATGCATTTACTCTGTGATGTCTTGCCCTGTCCCATCCAGTCATCTCATGCTAGCTCGCAACAAAACGTTTCACAAATTATTGACACGTCTCGGAACAAAGTTGTCCGTAAAAATACGCAAGTTTCTGGGAACTCAACGGATACCTTCACTGATGAGCCTATTTGCGAACATGTGCCATCCCCGCCACCTGTTTCATCTGGAGTTCCAAAAGGAGAGGGGCCTAGTCACCACAAAAGACCTGAGAGGAACAAGAAAGAGAAAGCCCAGGCAAAAGAGTCAGAGAAGAACGAGAAAAAGACAGCAATGTCCTTCAGAAAGCAGAAGAAATCAAGGTCAAGTATGGAAACATGCACACAGTATACAAAATTCAGTCTGAATGCTTAATATTAATATCTCTTTGCAGATATACTGTGGATAGGGAACATGCTGATGCCACTGGCTCTACAAACAGGAGTTCTTCACATCAAAGACTTCCCCAAAAGGTTGTGCCGTGGGCAGAGCAGCAGCAACGGGAGGCAAACCAGGCCTCTTCCAGTGAGAGATGTACTGGTGATTATGCACTAGCACCTTCTCCGATCCACAGTGCCTTAGGACAGGTCAGCACACGCACAAGCTGCAAATGTTTTTACACACTCCACCAGTTCTCAAGTTATTTTATTTTATTCTCTCTGTGTAGTTTGATTATTACACAAAAATCTTTAAATATACTCCTTTTTCCACTTATCTCGAATGGTGCTGCCATCACTTTTGGATGTCATATCAGATGTTAAGCTGCTATGTCATTATGGTAATTAAAAGCTGCATTAACCCGTATGTTGTTATCATTGGGGCTTCGCAGGTAGTTTCAGAGGTATTGTTCCAAACAGCGGATTCATCTCCTGCACTAAGGACCCCTGTCGCGTTGGGTTCTCCTCCTTGCGAAGCCTCTGCACCTTCACAATCCTCAGTTCCTCCGTGCGATGCCCACAACTCTATGGAGGTCATTACACAGCTGCTGCAAGAGGCTGAAGGTGAGCCTATGACAGCAAAGAGCACCAACCTTTACCCTGGAGTTAATTGTGGAGAATATATGAATAGTTTCCACGCCTAACATTCCAAAACCCGTCAGGTCAAAACCTCTCGATCTTTCAGTCTTTTTCTGTGCATGTTGTTTGTATGCAGATCTGGTAACATTTGTGATCCATGTTGGATTTTGCTGTAGTCATCGACTAAAGGCTGCCTTTGGGAGTTTAAATAATAAAACATTAACTTATAGGCTGGTCCTCTATATGTACATGCGGATAATATCCCATTATCAACCCTCTCTTTTGCTGCTCATTGTACCTTTAGTATTATTATTTTTCTTTTCAGATTCAGATGAAAAAGAGTTTGAAGATGACCCTCTATTAGAAGTTCTTCGAAAACAGAGAACATGGGTAAAGGAGCAGATCAGGTAATAACCTATAAATTAAATTGCTCAGCTAGTAAAATGTATTGTATGTATGTATGTATAATAATGTTGTTCATAGAAGGCTATTAACTTTAAAATCCTTTAGAATATAGTTTTTATATTGTTATTAAATTCATCTAAACATAGCAACCCCAATTCCAGAAGAATAATCTACTGTATTTTTCCTTTTAGGGAAGTGGACTCGATGTTGAATGAATTCCCGGATGAGCAACAAGTTACTTAAACGTTCACAAGAGGCACTTGATGTAGTCACTTTTTTTATTTTATAAAGAAATAAAGTTTATTTTTGAAAGAAATATTTCCACATTAAAGAGTTTGGCGATATGTATGTGTGCATCATTAATCACAATCACAAAACAGTGCATTTTACAAAAGTTGCACAAAAATAGCAGACCTGTGAACGCAGAATATTTACAAAGACTGGTTCCTTGAAACATTATGTAAGATTACTGAGTAACAGTAGGGCAGTATATACAAACCTCAGAGAGCAGGGAATATTAAAACAGTGCCAGGAACAGAGTGTTTTGGCACATGCTGAGTGTTGCTGTGACTGGAGGAGCCTAAAGTTATTTCTGTTTCTGCCTGTGTGTGTTCATAAAGGCTTGTGTTGCATTTGTTTTTTGTCATACATGGTGAAGATGGTGTTTGGTATTAATGCGATCAGGTCAGGATTCTGGAGTTCTCGGTTTGCAGCATCGGTGCAGATATGACAAGGATGCCATCTGGAGAGACCGCTGACTCCAAAGCCATGGTGTCCACGCCCTTTGGGATTCTGTAGCGCCGGTTAAACTGCCGCGTTGTAAACCCCGAACCATCCTGTTAACAAAACATGGAGATGAATACAAGTTTAGAGAACAACACAGATCACAGATATTGTAAATAAACCAGACGATGCAGCAATGTTACTGCCAGAACACCAACCTTTTTCTCTTCATGCTTTCCTTGCACTTCAACAAAGTCTCCGATCACCTTGACCATTAGGTCCTCTGGGTTGAAGTCCTTCACATCCACTTGAACTGTAAAACCGCTGTCATCACAGTTCACCTACCAACATAAGTGAAAATACTGGGTATTAAAAATAAACCATACCCGTAAAAATATTTCAGAACAGTAGTTTTATTCTTCTTACTAGCTTTTTGGGGGGGTTTCAACTGCTGAAGACTTCAAGATGCGGTTGAAAGTTTTGTCAAAATATATTTCAATTGTAAAATTAGGGGACTACTTTTGCCTATTAAGTTGCTATTTAACTTGTTAAAGAAAAAGAAAACACTTTAATAAAAAATAAAATAAAAGGCAGTTTGTTATCACTGAATGTATTTCCATGCAGTTCTACTGAAACAAAACACGTAAAATAAATCTTTTTACATTCTTGCATTACTCACAGTAAGTTAAAACAACATACCTCTGCAGAGCTGTTGTTCTCAGTCTCTGGCATGAGTAACTTAGGAGACCACTTATATTGTCCATAAGTCCCATTCAGCCGAGGAATAAGAGGTGGCAAAACCTTCTCCCATGGGATACCACCAGCTGGCAGAGTGGGTGGCAGGATGAAGTCCATTTCTAATGAGCAGAAAAGATTGTTTTTAAAAGAGAGCGCTGACTTGAGAGCAGCTGAGGCTACACAGCATATGAGACTACAACACTGGCCACAACTTACCTCTGCTTAAATTCCCTCTTCTTAAATTCCCTGACCAAATGTGCGAACGGGGAAAGGACGGCCCCTGGTCAACCGCTTGCGTGAGGTCCTAAATGAGGTACAAGTGCGATGAGCTGGTGCGCCCGTCTGTCTGCCTCCGATCTCCTCTGGGTGCCTGACGAGACTGTGTGTTCCGGTGTGTGTGTGTGTGTGTGTGTGTGTTTTATACTGGAGTTGCATAATGACTTGGGAATTCATAGTGGGGCACCTTGCTTCTGTTATGTTCTGGACTAATGCGTACCCTTGGGTGCTCAGGCGGGGCCATATAGGATAAGAGTGTATTGTTTTTTGGGGAGGGGGGCGCAGCTGTTGCGGGCTTATTGGTAATTAAGGTGTTCATTAACCAATATCGAAGCGCGCAGTTTATTCTGAGCGGTTGACGGCACCGGTGCGAACACACTGTTCACGTTATGACACATGTTACGGCGTGTATGCTTAAGGTCGGTTGTCAAGGAAAGGGTCCAAAAATAAGTTCAAAAGACGATGTTGTTGACCCTCGTGAGCTGACGCCGGACAGACAGTGACAGCAGGGACGTCCCGAACACATGCCAGAGCACGTGCGTCCCCCCCATCATCACTCACGCTCACAGTGGTGAAAGATCCGATGAGGTACTTACGTAAAAAGAGCAACACTTTAATGTTAAAATACTCCGTTACAATTCAATATGTAATATATATTTATATTTAAATATAATATATGTAAGTATACAGGAACCTTATCAGCAAAGAGTATTATAGTAGTATCAAAAGTACTCAATAAAAATGTGGTCATGTGTTATTATTGTATTATTATTATATTACTGGTGTATTAATGTCTAAATAGCGTTTTAAAGTTGGCCTAGGTGGAGCTAATTTAACTGGTTGGCAAGGCTGTGTGGAAAAAAAATGTTTATCAGCATAGTAACCTAACTAGCTGTCAAATAAATATAGTTAAGATATAAAATATAGTAATAGTTGTCTCTGAAATGTAGTCATGAAATGGATGAGCCTCAAAACTGTACTTTCTGTACTTGAGTACATGCGCTTTGTTCATTTCCACTTCACTCATTATACCACACACATCGGATACCACACACTTGGAGACAATGTACTATGTCCATAAAAGGATTCTTTACAATTTACTCCTCATCAATCTCTTTTATTAAGTGACTCCCCCCGTCATAAAAAGTACTGATCGTGCTGATACTCCTGACTTGTTCTTGGCAGTCCCTAGTGAAGTCAGCGGTTTATATGGCAGGTGCATGTTCTCCCTGTTAGTAATGTAGAACCTGTCACTTAAGCTTTGACTGGAGTGACTAAAAATGGCCCCGATTATGTTATGACTCATATAGGATGATAGGGAAGTGGGAACATTTGGAGGGATTAAGTTATTGGGTTTCACAACAGGCACCAGTCATATTCCAGACTTTAGGAGTCTTCGGTAACAATGCAAAACATTAGGAGTATAAATAGAGAAAATAGCTCACAGATGCATCATCAAACAAAAGGTCTGTACCGTTTCATAGATCCTTGAGGGATAATGATATTCCAACACAAGTATGGCATTCTGACTTTCGACGGGAGACACAGTACATGGAGTAAAAACATTGTAACTTGGAAGCATTATGGATATGTTTTTATTAGTCAGTCATACACAAGTAAAAATAGTTTTGGTGGCACAATTACACAGAAACAAACCTTTTAAATCAAGAAAAAAGTCCTGAATGCACATCCAGCTTCATCATTACATACTGTTAGATACTGCCATGACAGTTAACATTGTCTGCTATACAAGATTAATGATCCTAATCTAAAACCAAAGAACTTTCTGAAATCCCTTAGCAAGCGTAAAAAAAACATCTTTTAAGGGACATAAGGGATTACTCTTAACTTTATTCAATTGAATTTAGTTCCAGAGACAAGAAGAATCAATAAAGTGTTGTAGACTGTAGTTAATGAGGGAAAATTCTTTGGTCCATTATAGTGGATCAACAGTTATTTAGACCTGTTACCAAAAATGTCTCAAGGAATGCCCAGTGGAATTGTAAAGGAGAGGTAATCCCCCACCTCCCCCCACTCTGCTCTGAAGTGCTGGAAAATAGTAATCCATGTGGTCAGTACTGCTACCCATAACAGCAACCCTAGAGCTGACCGCTTCACATCTAGATGGAAAACACAGAAGATATAATTACTTAATATTTAAACAATGGTCACACAGACAGATATATCATATCATGCTCTAACTTTGCCAAAATCTTTCTTTCAAAAATAAATCTCATAAAATTGCAAATATGCTGTTTGATAGTGTTTTATCAAGTAGGACAACAAGGACGTGTTCAGTAAATGTCTGTTAATGTCAGCTAGCCAGAAACATGTGATCCATATTTTGTTGTACTTTATAGGCTTAGATGTAATGTTTCACACATTAAGTCAAATGGTTTTTGGTGTTTTCTTAAAAGAAAATGCGTCATTTAAAAAAAATAAAGATGCTAAAAAGGACCAGTGTGTAGGATTTAGTGGTATCTAAGGGTGAAGTTGCCGATTATAACCATTTAAATACCGCTCGCCTTCCAAGCATGTGAGAGAAACTACTGTGAGTACAAACCCCCTACCTAGAGCCAGTGTTTGGTCTGTCCAATTTACACTACTGTCTCCACACAGTGGCCTCAGAATAGCTCATTCTAAGGTAATGAAAACACAATATTTCTTATTTTCAGGTGATTATGAAATCATTGCCCAGCCCACTAAAAAAAATATCATCCCATCTCCTTCAGGATTACAGAGAACTGAAGAGAGGCCTTAACCTCATCCAAGCAGTTTGATAGAACAAACATGTGTAACGTGTTCAGTGTGTGAACAGAGTTTAGAACATCTGGATTAAAGTTAAACGTAAATGAAATGAAACAAAACATACGTTTTCCTAAACATGTATTCAAATTAAACAAGTGCTGCAATGGTTTCTAAATGTCTGCCAGTTCTTACACTTACAAGCTTTTATCTGAAGCTGCTCAGTGTAGGCTGGCTTTACGAAGGCCTCCCGAAAAAACCAAACAACATTTACCAGCCACAGGAATGGGAGAAATGCAAATCCACCTGAGAAAAAAAAAAAAAAAAAGATGGACAAAACATAAACAATGACAATATTACTGAATTAGTTTGCTTAAGCTTTACTTTACAAAAGGCTCCCAGTCACTGGCACTATCATGGTAACCTATCCTCCATCTCACCTAAAGAGTGTACATCAGATCACTACAATAGGCATTACGGAGGCAGGTGTTAACACTACCTGCATGTACCCAGAACTCACAGACCAAAGGAGAGAAGGTAACACTGAATATTTAATACGGTATATCCGCTACTTGTCCTTATTATCAGGTGCTCTCACCTAAATAATACTTTCTGCACAGGCTGAGTTTTTCCTCATTGGGCAGCCGCTCCAGGTTCATCGTGATTTGTTGCGGCTCTTGCTACGAAAAACAAACAAACAAACAGACAAAAGGTTACACAGCGGAACAAGCTCGAGACAGCAACCCAAAGACGTGACACTTGTGTAACAGACTTGTGTAGTTTGTATAAAATCCAAGCAATAAAGCAGCCTGTTGGTGCTGGCCCGGTTTGCATTGTCAGGTGACTCGGAGTTCACCACAGGCTAACTGTTAGCACGCTGACGCTACATCCAGATTCTGGGCGGTGTCGACTTATAGTATTTCTAAGGCATTACCGTCAGTATACTGTACATTCATGTGGTGATTTACCTGATGTTTATAAGGCCGACAGAATGGTCAGAGAATGGTCACAAATATAACCAAATAGAAAAAAATAAAAAAACCTCGAACACTTCCTCCTTCTTCTTCTTCTGAAACGCACTCTTCTTCGGCTTTCTTCTTTGTTTGTTATGGTAGGCGCACGCTCCCCTGCACTGCACAGCGCCACCTACAGTAGGAGTTCAGTGGTGCTTCTTCCCCTTGTTCGCCCCGTTCACAGTGTGCTTCGCCCCCTGTCTTTATCTTTGACCGTCTTTAAATACTCAGCTCCAGTGCTGTGTACACCTTCACCAAGTCTCTGTTCACAATGTGCACGTATATTAAAACTAAATTATCAGCCACTGTAGCTTTTTTCCGTTGAAGAGTTTTTTAAATATTTCTGTTTTATCCAGTGGTCCTCACCCACTTCGCACTTGACTGATAAGAAGATAATCATATACTTTCCATTAAACTATTTATTCTGCAGCACTTACTTTCGTCGTAAAACTTCAATCTTCACTGTGACCGTGAATTATATTCCATTGCTGACGATTTCTGCTTTTTCTTCTTCTTTGTCATCAGCTTGTTTTTATTGTATTCATTCATTCATTCATTCTTTTTTTTTTCTTTTTTTTTTTTTGCCTTGCGCAGTTTTATTTATGGGGGTTCACGTTGGGCTGCCTGTTTGTATGAAAGGTGCTATATAAATAAAGTTGAGTTGAGCTTTTTCTGGTGACAATGAATATGCATACTGCCATCTGCTGTATTGCAATGTGTAGAGCTGTGGGGCCAGGGCACAAAAGCATTGATGTAATACACTTTATCTGTACTGTAGCGTCTTTATAATCTGCCTTTACACTCCATTCCTTCTGTCAGATGGTAATTATGTCATGTCAGTGTATTATTTGATTAATGAAGCCTTCTTTGCCATACGTTATGTCACTTTTATTACTGAACTGTCATTTCAGAGCCACCTTCTTTTTCCAGTTTATTGTCATGGGAGCGATTTTAAATACTCGTTTCCCTGCTCATCTTTCCCCAAATATTATTGTTAATCGTCGAACAGAATTGTATAAATCTTGTCGAAGAAATGTTTTGTTGAAACCGTTTTAGAGAGTTAATTACTACGCATGTTATCACCTATGTATTATGATAAATGCCTGGAAAGCAGTATTTATGCTCTTTAAGAATATTTTTTAAAGCCTTGTATACACCGAACCATACATAAAAATGACCGGTGAGTTAGATATTAGAATATAATAAAATAATACATTAGAATATATAATAAGAAGAAGAATTAAGATTCGTGCAACCAATAAAGTTGCACTCATACGTTTATAACTAAGTGTCAGTAACAGCCATTGATGCAATATGTATAGCACAGACATTTCTGAATGGACTTTTGACGTACAATCACCACCAGAGGTCGACCCACTCTCCTCTCTGAAGCCTCGCTAAAAAAAAAAACTCACTTTCCCTTGCAGCATTGCGGCTCCCCCCTCCCATCTCGCGCCTTCCCTCTTGTCTCCCTCTCCTCGAACTGCTAGCCGTCGGTGTGTGTTGTTGTTGAAGCAATGATGGCGGCAGCGGGATGCGGATCAGCAACCGCGGCTGCCGTAGGAGGCCAAGGTGGAACCGCTACGGCCAGAGGTCGTTTCCCCGGTCGGCCTTGGTCGTCACGCAGTCGTTTGCGCTCCGAGAAGCGATGGCAACTCGGACGGTCAGGCTTAGAAGCTGATGATGTGACTAACGGAGGGCCAAGGCCCGCAAACCTGGTCCTATCGTTAAACGAAGACCAGTCTCACTTGCGCTTACTTGGGATAGAGGCGAGCCACAAGATCCTTGGCCAGGCTGGATACAGCTCTAGTGGGAGTGAAGAGGTGAGGTCCCAAACCGACCCAGGAGTTAGTATCTTTATTTCATCTTCTCACATTTTGTCTGATCGTTAAATGTGCCAGAGTGAGTGCTGTCCACAGCAGTGTGACTGGTTTAGTGCCATGGACAAATGTCAACATCCCTTTCGCTAGGCTAATGTTAACGCTAGCTTCACGCTTGGTAAGCTAACGTTAACATGCTAACTAATGGTTAGCACGGTGCAGCTTTTCCATGACATTTAATGAACAGTCGTAACACAAAAATACCACTGCAAACAAAGCAGCAGAGCAGCTCAAGTTACACCAACAATGTTCCCACAATTGCTTTTTGTAGGATAAAAAAATATTACAGGGTGAAAACACGAGCAGAAGGGCTTTTTAAAAAGCCAGTGAAGTGTGTGCGCCGATTTGTAAACAGGGACCGCAGTTGTTTGATAATGGCCCGCTCGTTATCGGGCCAGAGGAGCAGCTAGCTCATAGCGAACACAAAGAACGGGAAGGCTAACTGTGAGCTAACACTGCTGTTTTCATACGCTGTGCAGATGCGGGTTAGAGTTGTCTGCGTAACTAGTTTAAATAAGACAGCAGGCGCGAACGTTGCAGGGCCTTACTTGTCTGCACAAGGTAACTGCGATATTAACACTCGGATAATTAAGTTTTATTTGTAGCTAGGTAAGTTAGCCTTTGTGCAGACAGGAGTGAGCTTTAATGCTTTCGGCTAAGTGCTAGCTTACGTTACCAAGCACGACATGTTTAAATGGTGGTGCAGAAGTGTGCCAAAGCCAGTTGCACCCGTGTTGTGTGAAAATGCTCTCTGCCAGTGCACAAGCAGTCGTCAATGTCTTATCGCGATTCATGAGAGTGGGGCTGTTTATAGGCTCGTAGGTCACAGCTGCAAGCACGAGTGGGATGTACAGTACTTGGAGGGAACCGTAATTACAGACCCACCTGTCCCTGCAGTTTTTAGTGGGTGGTGTAGGTGTTCGTCCTAACTGCTCAAGTGTGATTCAGACAAAGGTTGCAGAGTTCTGGGCTTGCATGTCTACATTACATGTAACAGCTCCATGAAAAGTTCAGGAAGAGTTGCCCCCCCAAAAAAAGAGAAAAAGCCAGGTGCATATATGAGGTTATTATTACCAATGCAGGCCCTATTCATATTTAATGACTTCCAACTCGGGTGAGATGAATGGAAAGATTTGGTTTGAATGTGGAGAAAATGAAAACAGTTGTCCATTGTCTGTGATTGATAGTATTGCTTTAAAGTTTGAAGTAGATAACCTGTTTTTTTATTATTATTTGACATAACTGTACATACGCTAAGATAAACGCACATTGTAATGTTAGGTGTATTGATAAAAACATCAATATGATGGACATGAATCATTCTTCATAATGAACACTCAGAGAAATGTTCAGTGTTGCTTCATCTACCTAGCCTTTGCAGGGGATGTAATCAACGGCAAACTCTGAAATTCAAAATAAATGCTACAAGCGTACTATTTTAGTCAGTGTTTTTGCTGATGGTTCCTCCAGCAGAGTAGTGTTGTTGTCTGTCGTTTCAAGTGTTCATTTGCGTGTTTTTATTTTTTTCAAGGGAGATGATTTCAGAGGATTTGAAGCTGAGAGAAAAAGCTCCAAAGGACCTGTATGGTCCAGACAAAACCCTTCCAAAGGTAAAGGCAAATTATTATGGTTCCACATATTTATTTGTTTATAAGCTAAAGTTTCAATTAAGCATGTACAATATAAAAAAGTGTTGTTTTCTGTCCCAGTTTTGCATTCAGTGGAGGAGCCATGGGTTTTGTAACATTTCATATTTTTTGTTTTGTAGGTGAAGCTGTCAACACAAAATCTAAAAGACAAAGTGAGAAGTTACCGCTTAAAACGCCAGCAGTGGAGGCAGCTATTACCCAACCTGATCCTGTGAAAGATGTAAAATCTTCGGAGGAGATACACGGCTTATCTCCTGAAGCAGAGCCCGCAAAGGACTGCAGGAAAGGTTCGAAAGGAAAAAACACTATGGATCGGCAGTCCACTAAAAGCGGAGCCTCATCAGCAGCACCTAGGATTACTATAAAGTTGGTGGCCAAAAAGAAAATGAAAACTGTAAAGGAGCCTAATAAAAAATCTGTGAAGAAGTTGAAGATAAAAGGAATTCAGGATCCGCCTAAAGCCAAGGACATTCAGGGCGACCAGATTTCAAGTGCTCATGTCAAATTAAAAGCTGAACCACATGAGGATAAACATGGCACAGAAGATAAGGGAGGGGGGACAGTACCTGCAAGAAGGCGTGGGAGATCTGCTGCAAAGACAGAGCCTGTCTCCCAGACTAGCGCCAAAGTTGTGGTTGGAGACCAAAAATTAAAAGAGAGAAAAGCGGCAGACCAATTTGACACTGTTAAGGAGACTGGGACTGTAGAGCCAAAAACAAATGCTAAGAAGTTAAAGCATAAGGAAATTGTGACAGAGCAAAGTTCTGAAGTTAATCAACTCGCCATTCGCAGGAGCAACAGAGTCACTAACCCACTCTCTAAGAAAGTCTCAGACAGTGCAGCTGAACCAGAAAGTCTGAGTAAAAGTGATGCCGTTCTGGCAGAGTCAAAGCCTGAAGCTTCTCAAACAGTGGAGGCCAAGCCGTCAGCGAGAAGTGACAGACGGAGACAAAGCAAGAGGCTGAATAAGGATGTTACGATTCCGGAAAACCATGGTCCATCATCCACAGAGACTGATAATTTAGCTGTACAATCCAGTGACAGCTTGCCCTTGGGAACAAGGGTCCCAAGTTTAAAGTTGAAAAAGATAAGAAACCCAAAATATGATGCACAGAACGGCAGTGGGAAGAACGGCAGTGGGAAGAACTCCACTCGAAAGAAGAAACTGAGAAAATTTGTCTGGACTTTAACATTAGAGAAAGGAGGAAGTCAGACTCGGGGTGCAGAAAACACTGTGAAAGTAACAGAGAAGACTGTGAGCGATGAGGATCAGTCGACTTTATGTGACGCCAGTGTCAACAAGAGTTTAAAGGGGACGGATAAAAAATCTGAACTGGATAACTCGGCCCCCGAAGAGAGTAAAAGCTTGGACAATAATGAGAAGGCTCCCGAAAACAAGGCTGATTTGTCGTTTGAGGAAAAGTCCACTTTACAGGTGGAAGTTGAAGTGGAACACGTAAATGAAACACCTCCTCAAGAAATGACGAAAACAGATTGTGGGAAAGTTCCCCCTCTTCAGATCAAAAAGGTCTCCTCTCCTGGCAAACATAAAAGCTCAAAGCCATCCTTTTTAATTCAGCAAGTTAGTCCCGTGCCTGAGAAGAAAGACGATGTTCTTAAAGATCTGTGTGAAATTAATGAGGATATACCATCATGTCTGGATACTGAAGTCACACCAACTTGGAGACTGAGGAGGAGGACGTCAAGCTTTGATTCTCCACAAACAAAGTCTGTCAGTCATACACCAGTGACCACCCAGAAACGAAAGCTAAGAACAAGTCCACGGGATGAAGATAGTTCGCAGTTGCACGTTGAAGATTGTTCTCAGGCTCCAGCTGAAGATTCCAGCTCACATGGTCTTCCTAAAAACTCCTGTCAGGTTTTGGCCGAGGACCACCCTCAGGTGGCCAGTGTAAACTCCTCTGAAATTCCTGATAAGGATTCCTCAAAGATTGCTGATGATCTGTCACAGGTGCCAGGTGAAGTTTCTCCACAGAAGGTGGAGAATGAGGTAGAACCACAGACGAAAGAGGCCAAACCATTGCCTGTGCCTTCAAAGCCTAGAAGATGTAGAAATAATAAATTAGGGAAAAAGAGGTCTGTTCAAAGGAAGAAGGCTGTTGTCTCTCCTGAAACTGCTGTTAACACCGAGTTGGCAGCAGTTGAAGCTACTATCACGGAGTCTGTGCTAAAGGAAGATACGCAGCCTTTAGAAACAGACGTAACTGAGTTGGAAGCAAAAGATTGCGCCCAGCCTGAAGCAAAACAGGACACTGTGTCAGTGGAAGAAGAGCAGATACAGCCACCAGTTAAAGAAGAAACGGACATTCACTTGATAGATAGTCAACAATCTTTAGTGTCAGAAGGTCAAGCAAATGATCCTAAAACACCATGCCTACAAAGGAAATCTCTCAAAAAAATAAAAAAGAGGCGGAAAAGTTTAATAGGGCAGCGTCAGAAACATAGGCACAGGAGCAGAGATGGGAAGTTTGCTCCACTTAAATCATCAGAAAATAGTCCACAAATTGTTGAGGGGGATAGTGACATCTCCACTCCACTGGCAGCTACCACACTGGCCCCAAGCGCTAAACTTATTGGCATACATAAAAAGTACAAAAAGAGACAGGCGGGTCTTCAGTTGTTTGGGTCAAAAAGGCCAAAACCACAAGCTAAAATAATTTCTAAGCTGATAGAAATAGGGCTCGACAAAGGGAGTTTAAAGCAGGAAGAAACCGACACGTTAGTTGATGGGGGACAAGCAGATGTTGTGGACGTCCAGCCCGGTAAATCAAAGTTTGTAAAAAACATCAAGCACTTCATTATGCCTGTTGTAAGTGCCAGATCCTCGCGAGTGATCAAGACCCCGCAAAGGTTTATGGACGATGCTGGAATGTCAGTGTTGCCTCGAAGAAACTCTCCAAAGAAGGGCTTACAACTGGGCTTGCAAATGCGCCCGGGAAAGAGGCGAGATGATGGGACAGGCAGAGCAATATCCCCTATTCTGCCAGTCGACGAGGAGGACATATTGAGTGAAGCTCAACTGGACGTTGATCTTTTTTCAGCTCAGGACCTAGATGACAACATTGATCTCTCCGACAGCCTGTTTTCTGAGAGAAAAAGTGGCAAATTTGAAAAGAAGAGGTCTCTTCTAAAGAACTCTAGTTTCAAGTGGCATGTGCCAGAAGAGTCTAGTAAGGAGGTGTATACACTGGACAAAACTCCGGAGAGCAAATGTGAGGATCTGTTTTTATCTACACCAGTTGATAAGCCCACAGAACTGTCTATTGACCTACTGGATGCTCAGAAAAAGAAAAGTTCCCCGAAGTTCAACAAACAAACCGCTCACCTCAAGATTTATCAAAGGCTAAAGAAGGCACACACGGCACTTCCCAAAAGCAAAAACACAACAGAGATGGATAGTATGAGCAAACCTCCTCAGCCTCCCGTTGATTTAGCAGAAGGACTTGATGATGAGGCCATGAGCATTAGCCTCAGGCAGCGGAATACAAACACACAGAAGGACAAGTCCAAGCTCAAGATAGAAGACCTTGATTCTCCTGGAGTGGTGAGAAAAGTTTCCGTGTGCGTTAGGACTATGAACTCCAAGTCCCTTGCATTTCAGCACGGCAAAGAGGAGGATTTAGCAGCAAAAGACACTGCCCAACTTCACTCAGGTAAGCACAATAATTAAAAATCATTGGAATATCGAACGCTAAGCATTCAACATTTGCTTTAATTGGCATATGTTACCTTATATCCACAGGAGAGCTGCAGCCAGAACAGAAGTCAGGCGTAGTTGAAGGCGAGTTTGGATCTGTGGAGAAGGGACCTTCACAAAGAGCGCGCCTCACTGGTGCAAATAAAAGAATGTTCAATCTCCTCAGGAAAGCCAAGGTCCAGCTCATTAAGATTGACCAGCAGAAACAGCTCAAGTCATCTGGGGTAAGATCACACTGACTACACGCACATGTCCTCATGTCATTTTAGAAATACATTCTATGTTTTAGGAGCTGCCATAGATGAGAAAAGCCTAATGTAAACACACAATTGTTATGGATGATGCAGGCTGATTTTGTAGTTTTTGGAGGCTTGTATTGATGCCTTGTTTTTTCCTTAACCCCGTAGCTGTTATGTGGCCCGACTGGCGCCAGGTCTCGGGATGTGACCTCTAAGAGACAAAGGAGGAAGCAGAGGGTTCAGCTTGATGCTGATGTTCCAGTCAAGACAGAGCCACCCCAAGGACAAGTAAGCGTACAAATCAATAGGCCCTAGGTGGAAATCGATCCACCTAAAAAAAATCTAGTTTCTGTCTCTGGTTTTGCCAGTGTTTGTTGTTTATTTAACCTACTGCTATAGTCTAAAAAGAAAACTCAGTACTCCATTGAAATTTATGACCAGTGATTCAGATTAGATTTACTTGGGCGGCCCGCCCGGTTTATTAACAGCCAGGGAATTATTGTAGTATTTTGCAGAGAAACAGAAAGAGAGACATTATCTGGTGGATGTTTAACAAGCACAGAGCAGGTAAAGCAAGTTTGGTTTTCAATATGTGATGTTATTAACGAGTAGCTTATCTTCTTGGGCGACTTTATAAAACTTAATGCTCACCAACAAAGTAAACAGAGCAGATACAGCCTGTATGATACATGGAGAGA